TTATATTTCAAACCGAATAGCGATTACTCTGCGGCCATCAAAAGTTTATAATATGTTGGATGAATATTGGTTGCCAGCGAGAGGAAGGACGTTGATACCGACTATTCTCGTTAAAAAATAAATGGGAAGAATACATGTAAAATGTCTCTAGCTCTTATATCTGTAGAGAGATATCTTGGCGTTTATACGGACAACAACGTTAAATTTGTATAGTTTTATAGTGAAAGATTTTAACATTGAAAATTTAATTTAATTATTTATTTATTACTTTTCAGAAAAAATGGCGACTACTTCAAACAATAGTGTTGCTGACATGACAACAATAAGCGAAATAGACGAAGATGGAATAAACTATAATTTAAGACTTCGATATTCTAAAGATATAATATATGTATCCTTTTAAAACTAATTGATTGCATTCTATTATTATTATTATATATTTATATACCTTACAGATATAAACGTAATTTTCTATTGATGGAATTCAAAAAGACGAAGTTCATAATCAACTTTAAATAATTCGATTTACGCCTTACTGAAATCTACAATATGAAATGTCTATTCTATTAAAACAATAAAATTTTAGAACATTGACCATCTTTATTTCATAATCTATATTCATGAAATATATAAACGAAGCCACATAGAAAATACTCTGATACGCCCATTTACATAGTACATTTGTACAGCCTGAACCCATTCGAATGGCGAGGAGCTGAGTCGTTTATACCCTGTTCGTCTGTGTGCGGCCGTCTGTTTCTCGATAACCATTACCGTTTTTAGCGCTTAAAATAACTATCGAAATACAATTATAAAGTTATACATCCTACAATTTTAGAGCTAGACTCACTAACTTTTGCATATACATTTTGGTGTATTTTTATCATTTTTTTATTATATGTAGATCGCATACTTTTTCATTCAATTTTATTGAATACATCAACTTGCAAGTAGCGTTGATCATCGCACAACCATGTTCCCTATACGTATATTTGCAAGATGACTGTTTAGCTGTAAAGTCGCTGCAGTTTTTCTACTATGTCCATGCGAAATGGACTGACGCTGTTGAATCTATATTCGTTTTGCCACACCTATAATGATCGTGTATTTTCGGTCAATCATTAAAGATTATCAAGAAATTATAGAAAATTTAGTTTTTCCAAGCTTAGAAAAAAATTATAATAGGTAATTTTGTTTGTTTAAATATAATTATTATAAATATTAACTGCTGGGTTTTGAGTTTTGAGACTTGGTACAATCAGATTAATTTCCTTCGTGACTGTTGAGCTACGAAAAAAATTACGGATTTTGATCGATAATTATAGATTTATAAGTATTCAACTAAAACACGTAAAATGAAATAAATCGTATCTATTTTAGGGCTTTTTAATAATATGGTAAAATTAATCATTAGCCTAAAATAAAATTTTACTATTAT